AAAATATGGGAAGTGTGGGGGGAAGACAAACACCCAGAAGATATGGGAGAATATGGGGAATCTGTTTTTATTTGTGTGTATTTCTTTGTGTGTTCTGGGGCCCCTTTCGTTGTGTCTGCGTGCTCTCCTCCCTCCTGAGTGAAGGCTTCTCGGGAGGCCCTGACACGCACACACATAAACAAGCACAAATAGCAGGATCCCCCGTACTTTCCCACATGTTCTGGATTTTTGCCTCCCCGCTTCCTATATTTTCCCATCTTCAGGGGGGATCGACGATTCGTTGTTCAGGAGGGAAAAGAACACACAGACACAATTATTCACTGCGTGGAGCTCCCCATATGTGCATCTACTCGCATGGACCTGTCCGCCGTGAATGTCTAGGCGCAAGAGCTTTCGAATATTAACGGGCTTCAGTTGTGACGGTCTGGACATCAATCTAACTGCGAATGAATTGGAGTGTGAATGAGCCTCAGTAGTACGAGCGCGTCTCTGTGCATGAGCCTGGGGCCTCCTGGGGCCTCCTGAAACCTACTGGGGCTTCCTGGGGTCTCCAGGAGCCTCTTGGGACCTCCTGGGACCTCCTAGGAAGGTTTCGTGCCCCAGGGGAGGCGCAATCTATAGCAACAGACGTACATAAAACATTGCGGATTAGAGCCACAGGAGAAGGGCAATCTATAGGAACACGCGTAAAACACCAAGGACTCGTGCCCCAGGAGAGGCCCAATACATAGGAACATGAGTAAAACATTTAGGATTGTGTACACAGGAGAAGGACCATCTATAGAAACATACGTAGAACATCAAAGAATCGTGCTCCAGGTGAGGCCCAATCGATAGGAGCATACGTAAAACACATGGGATTGGAGCCACTCCTGTTGCCTTCTGAGGCCTCCTGCTCCTGGGGCCTCTCGGGGCCTCCTGTTGCCTTCCGAGGCCTCCTGGCGCTTCCTGTTGTCTCCTGGGGTCTCCTGTGGTTTCCTGAGGCCTTCTGGAGCTTCCTGGGGCCTCCTGGAGCCTCTTGGGACATCCTGTGGCCTCTTGAGTCTTTCTGTGGCCTCCTGATGCCTCCTGGGACCTCATGTGGTCTCCTGGAGCCTCCTGGAGCCTGTTGGAGCCTCCTGTGGCATCCTGAGAAGAATCTGCGCCCACGAGCCTGGCCACCAAAACTAGCAAACCGATCGAGACATCCTCAAAATCTGGCCCACCTGGGGGGTGAAAATGAGCGCCTCGCTCGAGACATCCTCCAAATCTGCTCCGAAAGCGAAGGATGTTGGGCACAGAAACAGGCAAACCGCCTGAGACATCCCCACAAAATGGCCGCGAACGAGCCCGTGCAACCACCCCTGGCGGCTCCCCTTAGGGGTGCTGAAATGAGCGCCTCGCTCGAGACATCCTCCAAATCTGCTCCGAAAGCGAAGGATGTTGGGCACAGAAACAGGCAAACCGCCTGAGACATCCCCACAAAATGGCCGCGAACGAGCCCGTGCAACCACCCCTGGCGGCTCCCCTTAGGGGTGCTGAAATGAGCGCCTCGCTCGAGACATCCTCCAAATCTGCTCCGAAAGCGAAGGATGTTGGGCACAGAAACAGGCAAACCGCCTGAGACATCCCCACAAAATGGCCGCGAACGAGCCCGTGCAACCACCCCTGGCGGCTCCCCTTAGGGGTGCTGAAATGAGCGCCTCGCTCGAGACATCCTCCAAATCTGCTCCGAAAGCGAAGGATGTTGGGCACAGAAACAGGCAAACCGCCTGAGACATCCCCACAAAATGGCCGCGAACGAGCCCGTGCAACCACCCCTGGCGGCTCCCCTTAGGGGTGCTGAAATGAGCGCCTCGCTCGAGACATCCTCCAAATCTGCTCCGAAAGCGAAGGATGTTGGGCACAGAAACAGGCAAACCGCCTGAGACATCCCCACAAAATGGCCGCGAACGAGCCCGTGCAACCACCCCTGGCGGCTCCCCTTAGGGGTGCTGAGTATGAGTAAGTCTGTGTATGAGTAAGTCTGTGTATGTGTACGTCTGGGTATGACTAATACTGTGTATGAGTAAGTCTGTGTATGAGTAAGTCTGTATATGAGTATGTCTGAGTGTGAGTAAGTCTGAGTATGAGTAGGTCTGAGTATGAGTAAGTCTGAGTATGAGTAAGTCTGTGTATGAGCAAGTCTGAGTATGTCCGACAGGAGGGGAGGAGAAAAGAGGAGGAGGAAGGAGGAGGAGGAGGAGTAGGAGGCGTCCAAGTAATAACAAGAACCCCATCTTAGGATATGGGGAATTAATCGTCGACCCCCAGGAAAAGATGCGAAAACATGGAAAGGGGGGGGAAGACAAACACCCAGAAACTATGGGAGAAGATGGGGAATCTTGTTATTTGTGTGTATTTGTTTGTGTGTGCTGGGGCCTCTTTAGTTGTGTCTGCGTGCTCTCCTCCCTCCCGAGTGAAGGCTTCTCGGGAGGCCCGGGGGACTTCCGCTTCCTATATTTTCCCGTTTGTCTCCCCGCTTCCTATATTTTTTGCCTCCCCGTGTCCTATATTTTCCCATCTTCAGGGGGGATCGACCATTCGTTGTGTCTGCGTGCTCTCCTCCCTCCCGAGTGAAGGCTTCTCGGGAGGCCCCGGGGGGGACTTCCGCGCCCGCGGAGCAGCGGGCCCCGCCCCGCCCCTCCTCGCCTCCCCCCCCTCGGGGGGGGGGCTCGCCGCCGACGCGAGGCCCCCGCCCTCTGAGAGGCCCGCCCCTCTCGCACCGCCCCCCCCCCTCCCCTCCTCCTCCTCCTCCTCCTTCTCCTCCTCCAGCTCCTCTTCCTCCCCCTCCTCCTCCTCCTCCTCCTCCTCCTCCTCCTCCTCCTCCTCCTCCTCCCCTCGCGGGCGCCGCCAATCCTCGGAGGTTCGATAAGACCTCCCGCCCTGGCACGCCGATTCGTGAACTGGCCGTGTTCGCTTCGCGAGAGGGCGTCGCCGCGGCCATTCTTGTTTGCGGGTCCAGGTCCGTCGGTTTCGGCCCCGGGCCGTTCTCACTAGAAGGGTGGCTTACGACAGGGAGGTGGATCCGCCGCCGCACCGCTCCCTCGCGGGCGCCGCCAGTCTCCCCGACACTCCTCCTCCATGCAGCCGGTGGGAAGGGGGGAGGGGCCCTCTTCCGCCAGTAGGGGGCCACGTGCGAACCCTACCTCTGCCCCCCACGATTTCTGAGGGGGGGGGGGGGGGTTCACATCGCTCGGGAGCTACGTGGCCCCCTAGCCAGGGCGCGCACCACCCCCTCGCGGGCGCCTCCCCCGTCCTCTGCCCGACACTCCTCCTCCACACCGGCCGGTGGGTGTGGGGGGGGGGCCTGCTCCGCCAGGAGGGCCCGCCCTCTGGCGAGCACGACGGGAGGCGACCGCCCGCGCTCCACACCGGGGGGGGTCCCCCTCCGAGGTCCTCGCGTCGCGCTGCCCATCTTCGGCCCCCGCGGGCCTCTGCCCGCCCCTGGGACCGCCAAAAAAATGCTCGGCATGAGTGCCAGTCCTGGGAGAGTGGTCGAGGCCTTGAGGAGGTCCACCCTGGGGGGAGGAGAACCAGAAAAACGAGCAACCTATAAGAGTCTCGGGTCCGGGCCTACTGGCCCCCTCCCTCCCAGACCGCCAACGACGTCATTCCTCGCAGCGTGGGCCCTCTGGAGGTCTCGACGCCCTTCCCCGGGAGCGGCTTCTCATCCCGAGTGTGCCCTTTCTGACGGCCCCGCGGCCCTCGCGGGGGCCCACAGCGGTGGAAGTCCGCCAACAGCATCCCGTGGTGATCTTTGCCACGGCGCAAGGGGGTCTGGAATTCGGAATTCCGCTCTCCCCCCCCCCGCCCTGGCCCCAGTGCTAGGGTGTTCCAGCCTATTTGAACTGCGATCGCAGAGGGAATCTCGAACTCCAGGAAAGTTCAGAATCTGGAGGATTTTCACGCGTCGGGCCCCGGGAGGCGGTGCGCGCTCGGCACTTCCTTAGCGTGTCGGGCAGACACTGTCTCGATTTTTTCTGGGTGCTCGAAATGATATTCTGGGATGTGGCCCTTCAGTACGACGTGAGCAACACGACGTGCCTCCGGTGTCCGAGCAGCGTCGGGCCCGCTGGCCCGCCGGGGCCCTGCGCGCGCGGCGGAGCGCCAGGGGGCATCCCGCCCCCCCCCCCCCCCGACACGCGGATCCGACGACCTGCTGTTTTCAATCCGCGGCCCCAGAGGTCCCGACCCCTTCCCCAGACGTACATGCAGGTCGTGGAGAGTATGTACCTGTGGAGTCCTAGATCCCCATCTGCTTCAGGCGCTCTCCTCCTTCAGAGATCGCCTGGGAAGTGTGTACTTGTGGACTCCTAGATCCCCCTATCTACTTCAGGCGCTCTCCTCCTTCAGAGATCGAGTGGCTTCCTTTCTCCCCTCCTCTTCAGAGGGCGGGCGAACGCCCAATCTGCTTCCAACGCCCTCCTACTTCATGTTTCCACCCACTTCTTCCGACCGGCGAGTAGGCTTTCGTCCCCGAGACATTCTTGCTTGTCCCTGGGCCCGAATATGCCCCCCCTGCGAAGCCGAACCGAGGCAAAACCGCCAGTTGAAAAACGATATGGGATCCCTTCTCCCGCCCTCTCTCCCCCCTTCACGACCCTGGCCCAACTAACTAGAGACACGCGGAGGGCAGCGGCAGGGAAGGGAGGAGGGAGGGGGGGGAGGGAGTGCGCGGCGCGGGGCCCCTGTCTTCGCGACGCGAGGACCCGCGACGAGGGGAGGTGGGGGTCTCCTCCCCCCCTCCCTCTGAGGAGGCGGGGGCCTCTCTCCCCCCCCGGGCCTCCCCTCCCCCCCTCTGAAGAGGTGGGGGTCTCTCTTCCCCCCCCTCTGAGGAGGAGGGGGGCCTCCCCCCCCCCTCTGAGGAGGGGGGGGCCTCCCTCCCCCCTCTGAGGCCCCGCGGAGCGCCTCTCGCGCCCGAGCCTCGGGCGCCCCCGCCCGCGGGCGGCGCGCGCGCGGGGCGCGCCCGGGCGCGCGGGCGGCCACATGGGCGCGCTCGGGGCGGCCCCGGCGGGGCCGGCGCGGGCGCGGCCGCCGATCGGCCGCCCGCATTTGATGCTGGTGATGGTCGCCGCCGCCGCGCGCAGAGGGGGGCAGGGTGAAGCCTCCCCCCTCCCCTTACCCTTCCCAAAGAGTCAACACACAGTCGAACAGTAGTCCCCAAGCTATGTCTTGACTCTCTCTCTTTCTGAACTCTGAGTGTTGCCCCCGTGGAGGGACATGCCCGACTTCACCCTGCCCCCCTCTGCGCGCGGCCGGCGGCCATCACAGGGGAACAAAAAGTGGCATGAGCATAAAAACTCGGAGGTCCGCGCGGATTCCTCGGATCGGCGCCGGACCCCCCGTCCCTGGCGCGCGGAGAGCGCGCCAGGGGCGGCGCCGGAGGCGCCGCCGGGGGGGCCCCAGCGCCGACCCGAGGAATCCGCGCGGACCTCCGAGTTTTTATGCTCATGCAACTTTTTGTTCCCCTGTGATGGTCGCCGGCCGCGCGCAGAGGGGGGCAGGGTGAAGCCGGGCATGTCCCTCCACGGGGGCAGCATGCAGAGTTCAGAAAGAGAGAGAGTCAAGACATAGCTTGGGGACTACTGTTCGACTGTGCTTGACTCTTTGGGTGTGTGTAGTTGTTTTTATGTTGCACTTGTTTTTTGTTCGTCCAAACTCCGCCTGTAGGAGGACATGCCCGACCTAAGGGTAAGGGGAGGGGGGAGGCTTCTCAGAAGCACCCCTGCTTCTTGGAAGGCGTGGGCCTTATCTCTATAGATGTAGGACCCCGGCGCCTTCTCAGAAGCAGCCTCCTTCTGAGAAGCCGTGCCCCCTCCCCCGTACCCTCATGTGCGCGCCGCCAAGGTCGGGTTGATCTCACTGGGGGGCCTCAACTTCGTCCTCCTGAAGGTCCTGTACACCGCCTACGGGGACCGGCGGGCGTTCTTTGTCAACCAGGCGATCAACCTGCTGTATATTTTTTACGGGGGCGCGATCCTCTACCCGAGGATGCTCGCCACGAGCGCCGTCACCCCAGCGATGCGGCGGTTCCCGAAGAGGCATTTCTTCGTGATGGGGCTGTTCGACAGCCTCGGCACGTTCTTCACCTGCCTGGGGGCCCCCTACACGCCGGGCTCCCTGACGCCGCTGCTCAACCAGCTGCTCATACCGTCTACCAGTCGGAGAAGAACAGACGGAGCGAGCATACATGTTCGGAGTTTCGCTCAGAGTTCTTGGGTCCGCGCCGGGCCCCCGGCGCGCGAGGGAGGTGGCCCGTGCGCCGGCCCGAGAAATCCAGGGCGGAGCTCCGAGAGGTCTATGCTCGTGCCGTGCCGCTCTTCTCCCAGACGTGGCGGTCTCGGCGCTGTACCTGGGCAACCAGGCGACCTGGAAGGAGTTTGCTGGCGCTGCTCTGATCGTCGCGGGCGCGATCGTGAGCCTGGTGCCCAGTCTGTTCGCCGCCCACGACACGACTGAGAGCTCCATCTTAGAGATTCGGTGGTATGCAGTCATCTTTTATGCGTTGAGCAATCTTCCCATGGCAACATCAGCGTGCTACAAAGAGGCCACGTTCGAGGAAAACACGCTTGACGTGTGGTACCTGACCCAGTGGGTCTCCATTTTTCAGTTCCTCATATCGTTTTTGTACATGCCACTGCTCATTTTGCCTGGTTTCGGGAGCCAAGACGGCATGCCAATGTCAGAAGTTTCTGCATCTTTTGGCGACGGCTGGGAGTGCTATCCTCGGGGCTTCCGCCCCCGCCGGCCACCTCGGACAAGATGGCGTCTCGGAGTGCAGGGCACCATGCGAAGCGAGGCGAGGAGGAGGGGGAGGGGAGAGGGTCGGAGGCAGCGAGAGAAGACATCTGGGCGAGAGGGGGGATGCGAGGGAGATGGGAAGGCAGAGGGCAGGGAGGAGGAGGAGGAGGAGGAGGAGGAGGAGGAGGGAGAGGAGAAGAGGAGGAGGAGGGGAGGGAGGAGGAGAAGGCAGAGGAGGAGAGAAGGCAGAGGGCAGGGAGGAGCGGAGGAGGAGGAGGAGGAGGCGAGAGGGAGGAGGAGGAGGAGGAGGAGGAGGAGGAGGAGGAGGAGGAGGAGGAGGAGGAGGAGGAGGATGGAGGAGGGCAGAGGGCACGGAGGAGGGAGTGGAGAAGAGGAGGGGAGGGGAGGCCCCCGCGTGCGTGGGCGCGCGCCTTCTGTCTTGGGCGGCCAGTGTGGGCGAGTGTCGCTTCGCGCGCTGGGCCTGCAGGCACAGCGTCTGCGGCCCGTCATTCCTGCAGGGCGTCCTGCCTCGGGATGCGCTCCGGCAGCTGCGCCTCGCCGAGAGCGCTCTGGGAGTGCCGGGATCGTGTCGAAGGGCCGCCAGAGACCCGATTCATGACCCGCAAGCCAGGGGGTGCCGGCATGGGGGATAGGCTCAGGGGGGACGCATCGACCCCCAATCGCCCACTGGTCGCCGATGGGTGCCTGATAGCCCGCCCCGCCCCAGGAACGCGCGGTTTCGCTATCGGGGGCCTTATGCGCGCTCTCTCGCCGATTCTGGCTCGACGTATCCTCTGCAGAGTCAGTCCCCTGGCTCGGCTGCGCTGTGGGGGCGCGCGCTTCCTGTGTAGATTTAAGTCGTGCATATCCCATTGCAAAAATAATAACAAATAGTCTGGGGACGATTTGTCTGTTATCTTTGATTATGTTTGAACATTTGGCGACTAATTTCTATTTGTCCTCCAACATCGCCTGCAGGAGAACATGCCCGACCGAAGTGTAGATGTCTAGGCATTCGAGGTTCATAGTACCCCCGCCCTGCCTGCCGCAATTCTTGTGGGCCTGCCTGGCTACACGTGCAGGTTCTTCCTGCCCGGCCGGAAGAAGCCGCGCCTGCCCGTCCCTTCCCCACGCTCCGCCCCTCCCGTCCTCGCTTGCCTTCCTCCCCTCCTGGCCACGCGCAGAAGGGGGTAGGGGGAGGGGGGAAAGGCTCCTTAGAAGCACCCCCTGCTTCTCAGAAGGCGCGGGCCTTCTTTGTAGATGCAAGGCCGGCGCCTTCTAAGGAGCAGCCTCCTCCTAAGCAGCCTTCCCCCCTCCCCCGTACCCTCTTGTGCGCGGGCATGATTAACGTCCACATATCCAGTGCCTTTTGGACTTTTTTGGAAGCGGCGCCACAAGGCCGAGGCGCACTGGATATGGATAAAACTCGAGCCTCTGGGGGGCAGATTTATCCACATCCAGTGCGCCTCGGGCTTCTTGGGCAGGGAGCCCCAAACTCCATACTGCAGTGGATATAGACAGAGGGTTTGCCCGCATTGGGCGCGCCTTCCCCCCCTCCTCCACGCCTCGCCTCGCGGTGGGGGGGGGGCGAGGCGCCCCGCCGCCGACGGCGGCCGCCGCGCTCTCCCACGCCGGCGTCGTCCGAGCTCGTCTTGCTACTGTGCACCCCGCGGGCAGTCGCTTCGCCGTTCCGCCCATGGTGGTGTCGTCGGCCTCGTGGCAACTCGCGACCCCCCCGATGTGGGGCTCCAGGCTGGCTCCGCATTCCCCCGCTTGTTGCATGCCGGGCCTCGCTTCGGCATACCCGTGTTCTCCTCCTCTCCCTCCTCTTCTCCCTCCCCTCCCTCCCTCCCTCCCTCCCTCCCCCCCTCCCTCCCATCCCTCCCTCCCTCTCTGCTCTCTTCCCCTCGGCTTAGTTTGTGTGTCTCTTTGTCTGTTCTGGTGGCATCCCGTCCCCACGGAAAGCATTCTGCCCGCCGCAGGGGGGCTCTGCCCGACGGGGTCGATGCACGCATTGTGGCGTGCGCTCGTGGAGCGAGCTTAACACAGATTCTGACTTGATTCTGCGCTCCACGCTAACGTTTGGGGGCGTTGGACGGGCGTTTGTTCCGCGCGATTTCTTGTCCTCATCCTCCTCCCGCCTCCCCGCCTCGGTCTGGCTCCGGGGCCCAATTAAGGCCACGGTCGCCGGACACCACGTGTCCCTCGCTGATCATTTGGCCGTGGTGGCCCCCTTTGTGGTTTCACACTTGTCTGCCCAATTTCGCCATCTGCCGTGGTCCGCTCCCCTCTCCTCTCCCCCCCCCAACACACACACACACACACACCCAACAAAATCAGGAACCTTTGGTGGGGAATCCACTGTGCGGAACCTTTAGTGACGGGGTCCTGAGAAAGGGCTCCTCAGTTTGGGGCCCTTAGTAAGGAATCCTTCTGCGAGAATCCCTAATAGGGAATCCTTAGTCTCGGTTCCTTATTAAAGAACCAGTCGCAAGGGTTCCGGAGTAAGGAAACCTTAGGAAGGAATCCGAAGTAGGGAATCCGTAGTAAGGAGTCCTTAGTAAGGGGTCATTCGCAACATTTGTAATATGGGATATTTCTAAAGATAGAGAGGAAGGATAATTGGGAGGAGGATGAGTTGGAGGAGGAGGAAGAGGAGGACGAGGACGAGGACGAGGACGAGGGCAAGGACGAGGACGAGGACGAAGCGGAGGAGGAGGAGGAGGAGGAAGGGCTGCAGACGGAGTTTGGCTTGCCGCCCACACATGCGTAAGCTGGCTGAGAGGGAGAAACGAGCCTTTGGTGCAAGGGCTCCTGGGTTCTACCCAGGGCGCTAGGATGTGGGCTTTCGGAGCGGCTCGCTCGCAAAGGAAGGCGAACTTGGAGGGAAGGAAGGTCCCAGGGAAAATCCCCGAAACAAACAAGAGTGTACATGACAGCATTCCCGAACCCTCGATGCTAAAAAACGCTGTGTTTTACACTGTATACTCCACATCCGAAGCCAAAAACATTATGAATGACCGCTTTCTGGAGCCCTGGATACCAAAAACATTATGTTTTCCAAAGCGTTCTCAAACTTAGCAGCCGAACACACGTGCAAGTTGCGGCGTTCGGAGCCCTGGATGCCAATTTGCAAAGCCAACACTAAAGTGGTTCGGTGCCGTGGATGCCAAATGCGCGGTTTGACCTCGTTTTCTCAACCTCAAAACCAAAATCATTGGAAGTTGCAGCGTCTCGGAGCCTTGGATGCTAAAACCCTGGATCCACTGGTCCCTAAAAAAGCTGTACCAATGCATTTCAAAAGCCATTGTTCCTTGTGACCTTTCTCCCAGGGCCAGCCTCCCCCACTCCTTCCCCCCCCCTTCCTCTGCATCAGACCCCATAGGAAGAGGGGCGCTGCGGAAAGAGGAGGACCATGGGCATCACCACGCGCAACCACACTTGCGTAATTATGCATACATGGCGAAATGCAGATAAGAAATGTAATTACAATACGAATACTCATCATAATGAAAATAGCATGAATAAGAAACATACCAGTAAAAAAGAAGAAGGCTTCGCGCTCAATCAAAGACCATGCGTGGTTTGTCAAGGGTACGGGGATGTTCGCGCCCACATACGTGTATATATATGTATGGATACGTACATGCTTACATACTTAACTAACTCCATGTTTGTGTCTATATATATATATATACATATGTACGGCCGGCGCCTTCTAAGAAGCAGTCTTTTTCTAAGCAGTGTTCCCCCATCCCCAATCTCCCCCTCTGCGCGCCGCCGAGTAGCCCACCGCGTGATTTGGCACAGAAATGCGGACACATGCCGCGTTCCTCCCTTTGCTCCTCCTGCTCTTCGTGTTCCCCCCTCCTTCTCCGAGGCTGGCCCCACGAGTGGTGCACATATCCCGATCCATGCCCTTGCGGCCTGGATGACGAGACGCGATCTCATGGATACACTCCGTGCGGGGCATCCGCGCAAATCCACCCTGGGCCGCGGCCGAGAAGTCCTGAACGCGAGTGAGTAGATATGGAGATGTTGCCCGCCCGCGACTCCCCTCCCCCCTCTCCCCCCGTCACCCCCGCACCCCCCGTCTCTCAAATCGCTCTCGTCGCGGCTCTGCCATTGGCCTCACGGCGACCCCTTTTCTGGGCGGGGCCGGCGGACCTCGAGCGGGTGCCCGAGTGCGCCGAGGTCAGCGTGCGCGCGGGGAGGCGGAGGATGTGGGTGTGGGTGTAGGGTGTGTTGTGGGTGCGGCTTGGGGGGAGGAGGAGGAGGAGGAGGAGGATGAGGAGGAGGAGGAGGAGGAGGAGGAGGAGGAGGAGGAGGAGCAGGAGCAGGAGTAGGAGCAGGAGCAGGAGCAGGAGCAGGAGCAGGAGGAGGAGGACGAGGAGAAGGGTGTGAAGGAGGAGGAGGAGGAGGAAGTGAAGGAGCACAAGAAGAAGTGAGAGCCGAGAGCTCCATGTAGCCGAGGTAGGTAAGGAGGAGGAGGAGGAGGAGGAGGAGGAGGAGGAGGAGGAGGAGAATGCGCGCGAAGGCCGAGGATTCCTCAGACATCGTTGTACACACCAGCTCCTAGGTCACCTCCAGGGGTGCGAAGGTAAACGCGATTTGCACGTCACGGCCTCGGCCAGAGATCTGCCCTTCTCCAGGGTGGCCTCGCGGGCGCGAGGGCCCAAATGACCGCGCATCGCCGGCGCAATGCGTGAAACTTTATTACATCAGAAATTGTTTGCCGCTACTTGCTCAGGTTCGTGACCTGTGCATGCGGTTTCTCTTGCTTGCACCTTCTTATTCTCGCCTTGCCCCCAGACGCGCAACGGCCTGCTCGAACGTACGTTGAGCTCAGCTCGCGCCTTGCACAATAGCCGCCTGGACTAGGCTGATGTTACGTGACATTGTTTTGTACAAGCCTTATGTATGGTTGGTTCCTTCGACAATGAAGGAGGATGAGGAGGCCGCGCGAGAGCCGAAGTGCGCAGGCAAGCAGGCCGACGATGGTCCTTGATCGGTTTGAAGAGCATCTCGAGCCTGGAGAAACGACGGAACGCCATGCCGTACCACCCCTGAAATGCCCGATGGGGTATTCGACGGGGTCCCCCAACTGGAGGTGCGCGGGAACTGTGGTACTCGGGCAGTTGGGTCTCCGCTGCTTGAGGCCGGCGGTCAAGTGGGGGTGGTGCCGAAGGCCGTGTCTCGGGGTGGCATTTCGAGGCGCCTCGTCATGGCGGCGCAGATGAGACGCCTGGGGCATGTCTGTGCTGCCATTCATGTTGCGGGGTCCGATTGCATGTGAATTCATGCAAGCGCTTTGGGCACCTCCTTTTCGGGTTGTATCGCCGGAGTGTTTTGTCCAGGCACAGAAAAGTTGTACCGGGTTCATCTCGCACTTTGCCCTACGACTGGTTGGGCTGGGCTCAATTCCCACGTCCTTGTATCCGAGAGTGTTGGAGGATTGCTCGTTCGTGCGGCCGGCAGGGGACAATGTGGCATAACTGGCCAGTTGGGCGTCTTTGCGGCCCGTGGACGCGAAAAGGGGTAATGAGAAGACCCTGCGAGGACATTGCGATGGTAGGCTGCCGCCGAGACGGGCGGCGACACTCCTTCCTCCTTTCGCGGCGTCGTTCTCGGCGTCTCTTTCGGTCCCCCCTTTTACTTGCTGCAAAAAATGTTGTAGCCCTTTTTTAGGGCCTCTTTCGATCCGATCAATCCAAGTCGATGTCGGGCTCACCCGGCTCGATCCGATTCGTTTCCGATGCCGCTGCGATCCGATGCGGCCTGATGTGTGCGCATGGCGTGGGTGCGCCTCCTGGCTACGCCGATTCGAGTCGGTTTTGATGTCGTGCCGATGTGGCCCGACCTGGCGCACGTCCCGATTCAGTCCGAATTCCCTAAGTACAGTCGGTGCCCTGAAGAAGGAACCCTTTTCGTTGGGGAGTGGCTCCATGTTCCTTGATTGCTTCACAGTTTGCCTTGGGTTTCCATTTGGTCTCCGAAGGGAAGTCGAAGTTCCACTTTTGGAGAAAAGGGGCCTCGTTCCTTATTTAGGGTTCCTTTGGTCAGCGCCCCGACTGTAGACCCTGACCGGTCTTGCCCTCCCGCGCGGATCGCTGGACTCTGCGCCGAGGCTGCGCAGTTCGCTGCCAAAACCACGAGGGCGAAGAGAGGGCCCCCGAAATGCGTGTCAGTGCCTCGCCGCCGGCCTGCGCTCCGACCTTCTGGGGAAGCCAGCCGCGTCTTCGGGGGGGAGGCTCGGCAAAGAAGGCCTCCAGAGGCCTTTCCGGAGGTGCCGCCCCCTCTCGCTTTCCCCCCCGGGCTCGCCGCCGAGATGGGCAAATCTCAGGGGGGGAAGCAACACACAGACACAATTAATCGTCGATCCCCAGGAAAATATAGGAAAATCTGGGAAGTGGTGGGAAGACAAGCACTCAGAAGATATGGGAAAACATGGGGAATCTTTTTATTTGTGTGTATTTATTTGTGTGTTTGTGAGCCTCTTCAAAATCCTCGCGTCGGAGTCTGCGCCTGCGCATCCTACTTTATCTTCGGAGCCTGCGGGGGCCTCTTGCCGCCCTTTGGGTTTTCGGGCGCCGTTTTGGCATTCGGCGCCCTTTGGTTTTGGCGCCCTTTGGTTTTCGACGCCCTTTTTGTCATCGGCGCGTCTTCGGTTTGTCGGCGCCCTTTGGGTTTTTGGCGCCTCTTTGGTTTTCGGCGTCGTCGTCTCGCTTCCCTGGGCTGTTGCACCCGCGGGCGATCGCAGCCCTGGGCTTCACCTTGTGAGCCGTCATCGCGCGAGCGGTGTTGCGTCATCGCATGTACACGCGGCGGCGGGGGAGACATCTTGGCGGATCACCATGAACAGCAATCAAGGTGGTTCGTATCCTTCCTGGGGGCGGTCCGATGCCATTCAGCTGACAGAAGCCCGGTTCTTGGATGGCGAGTCTCTCCCTCTGAGTGGCGTCCCCACGCGGTACAGACGGGGTGGCGGCGCTTGCATCTACGCGTGCAGCACCTGCAACGGAACAGACCTCACTGGCGCAGTAGCCAGCAACCCCTGCCTCAACGACGGCGTTAACGTCGATTACTCAACGACAAGGAACATGCAGCTTGGAGCCTACATACAGTATGACGGCGTGAGCTGGGCAACGCTGCCGCGTTATGTCAGGCTGGGCAGGGGCGAGGTCGAAAATTGGCGGTGGCCAAGACCAGTGACCGTGTCCGTGGCGGGCGCTGGCGCATTCACGGACTGTGCCGCGCTCGCAGTCCCATCGGCCGTTGCAGCCTACGCATTCTACGTGGCGGGCATCGGGGGCACGGCGTGCTCGGATCTGGCGACATTGGGCATCCCCGCGCCAACGCCGACCCCAGTCCCGGCCGCGTCCGTGTCGGCGACCGCGGACCCGCATTTGGTCAATGTGTTGGGTCAGCGTTTCGACATCCTCCAGCCAGGGGTGCACGCGCTGCTTGCGATACCCCGCTCGCTGGGGACGAAGCGGTATTATTTTTTATGTGGAGGCAGAAGACGCCAGCGTTGGCGGCAAGTGCGCCGACATGTACTTCCAGACGTTGAACATGACTGGCTGGCGGGTGGCCCCATTCGAAGCACGGCGTCATCCATTATCCGGCTCACAAAGTCGAGCGAAAGCCGTGGCGCCAGCACGGCCTGGTGGACGTCAAGGTAGCTTGGGGCCGCACGAATGAGGACATCAAGTCTATCAATTTCCTGGTGCGGCACCTGCGGCGCACCACGCACAACACCGGAGGCCTTCTCGGGGATGACGACCACACGTTGGCAGCCACACCGAGCGCGAAGTACAAGCGGACTGTTTCAATCTGAGGCGTGCGCGAGATTTTCTGCAATCTGCGACGCGCTGGCATGTGGCACGCTACTTCTGCAAACCCTTCTGCTGAGACGTCTGCTATCTGCGCAGTGCTGACAGTCTCGTGAGGTTCTGCCCTTCGCCGGGCTGTCGGCGTCTTCTAGGCAATTTGTTCTCAGGAGGGAAAGAAACACACAGACACAATTAATCGTCGACTCCCAGGAACATATGGGAAAATATGTGAAGTGGGGGGAAGACAAAAACCCCGAACATATGGGAAAGTGTGGAGAATCGTTTTATTTGTGTGCATTTATTTGTGTGTCCTGGGGCCCCTTCGTGTTCGGCCATGAGCAATGCCAGGGCGCTTCCGTCGCCGTTCGCCTGGTGTCTTCGGAGGAAGAAGGGCGGGGGAGGGCTCCGAGACATGAAGCCAGCGACCTCGCGCCCTCACAAAATAAATGTGTGTTTCCGCCCCTTCTGCCAAGCAGGTCTAAAGGCTTTAATGTTTGTAATTGCCTGGTCAAGACGGCCCGAGTCAGCCCCAAGAGGGCCTAAGAGGACCCCAAGACGGCCCAAGACAACTTCAAAAACGCCCAAGATACCTCGAACACGGCGTCGGTCCAAGAGGGCTTGAAGACGGCCCAAGAGCGCTCCAAGAGGGCCCGATATGGCTTCAATGCAGCCCAAGAGAGGGCCCGATATGGCTTATTTGGTCTTCGCAGCGCCCAACAGCTCAGGAGGCCCCCAAGACGGCCCCAGAGGCCCCCAAGACGGCCCAAGTTGGCGTCAAGACAGCCAAAGAGAGCCTCAAAACGGCCCAAGAGAGGCCCTTGAGGGGTTCCCAAGAGAGCCCCAAGAGGGCCACAGGAGGTCCCCAAGGGGTCCCAGGATTGCCCCCAGAGGGCCCCAAAACGGCCCAACGATGTTTTCAGTAACCATTTTTGACTATTCTTGAATATGCTTGTTTATGTTTAATTTGTCGTCCAAAATCCGCCTGCAAGAGGACATGCCCAACCGAACGCCAAACTAAAGGGGTGGAGAAAGGTGCCCCTCTCGTGCCCGAAAGGGGCCCCAGAGGGCCCACTGCGGCCCCAAAAAGGACACGAAAGGTGAGCAGTGAACGCCCACGGCGTCCGCCGACGTTGTTGATTCCATCCGCAGGCCCTGGGAGTCCCGGCCGCTTCTCCCGAAGTTGGCTTTCGTCTCGGATGCACTCTTGATGGTCCCAGGGCCCGAGGGGGCCGAGATCATGGAAAGGCCGCCGCCTGACAAAGATCGGGGTCGGGATCTGGGAGGAGGGAGGAGGGAGGAGGGAGGAGGGAGGAGGGAGGAGGAGGAGGAGGAGGAGGAGGAGGAGGAGGAGGAGGAGGAGGAGGAGGAGGAGGAGGAGGAAGGCAGCCCCGCCTCGCGCGTCCACGGCCTCCCGGGAGCGGCGCGGCGGGCCGGGGTCGAGCGGATCGGGGCGATCGGGCGGCTCGGGCGGGCGCGCCCGCCGGGCGAGGTGAGAGCTTCCTGTGGCCTGTTGGGGCTTCCCGTGGCTCTCGTGGCCCCGTTGGGGCTCTCTTTGGCCCAGCCGCCGCTTCGGAACACCATGCCCGAAGCACCATACGACGCATTTGAACTTCAGCCTTAGCAACACAGCCCGTTGGGGCCTTCTTTGGCCCAGGCGCCGCTTCGGAACGCCACGCCCGAAGCACCGTACGACGCATTCGAACTTCAGCCTTAGCAACACAGATGCGACACGGATCGGGCGGGCGCGCCCTCTGGGCCGCCGCTGGCCGTCAGCGCTTGGGGCCGCCCACCGAGCGGGGCGCGCCGCCCGCCGTGGCGGAGGGCGGCGGGGCGCGGAGCGCGGCGGCCTGGCCCTGGGGGCCGGCCTGCGAGGCGGGCGTGCAGAGCGAGTGCCCGCCCGCTCGCTCGCCTCGCTGCGGCCGGGCGGCGCTTAACCTCCTCTGCGTCGGCGGCGTTCCCTGATCTCCGCTGCGTCGGCGGCGTTCCCTGGCCTCCGCTGCGTCGGCGGCCTTCCCTGGCCGACTCTGCGTCGGCGGCGCTCCCTGGCCTCCGCTGCGTCCGCGATGTTCCCTGACCTCCTCTGCGCCGGCGGCGTTTCCTGACCTCCTCTGCGAGTCGGCGGCGTTCCCTCGCCTCCTCTGCGTCGACGGTGTTCCCTGACCGTCTTTTGTTGTTAAATAACATGGCGAAAGCCTCTGTGGGGCCCTTGCCGGGCGACAGGAGCAGGAGGAGGAGGAGGAGGAAGAAGAGGAAGAAGAGGAGGAGGAGGAGGATGCGGGAGAGGGCGGGAGGAGACGAGAGTAGAAGGAGGACAAGGGAGGCGGCGGAAGATAATGACGTTAAGGGAGGAGGCACAGGAGGAGGAGGAGGAGGAGGAGGAGGAGGAGGAGGAGGAGGAGGAGGAGGGGGAGGAATCGAGAGGAGATCCTTATTGTGGTGAGGTCCACGCGTTCTGGCTGCTCACGGGATATTGCGGGGTCAACGTTTGCTTCAACACATTGGGGCTATACCTCACCAAGCACGGCAGCGCCGTGCTCAGCTCGCTGAGCTTTTCGATCTTGCTGCCTTTTACCACTGTGCTGTTCTTCTCCCCCGCTCTGGGGCGTTTCCAGGACCGCGCTCACCGCAGCGCCATGTGTGTGTGGGGGGGGGAGGAGGTGGTGGTTGTCAAGGAGCAGTGGCAGGAGGAGGAGGAGGAGGAGGAGGAGGAGGAGGAGGAGAAAAAGCAGTTGAAGCAGGAGGAGGAGCAGGGGCAGGAGAAGGAGGAGGAGCTGGACGAGGAGCAGGAGAGAAACAGAGGGTAACTTGGGCTTGGGGCTGCTCCAGGAGCCGCTCACCCGCAACGCCATCTTCACCTTCACCGGTCTGGGGATTGCGTCCGTGGGTTTCTGCATCTACCAGTGCGTCACCCAGACTGGGGAGAGGTCGGTGGAGCTACCACGGCTTGCATCGGTCCACTCGGTTCCCCTCTTCATCCTCCTCTTCCTCCTCCTCCTCCCGCCTCGTCCTCGTCCTATTGTTTCTTGCCATGCTGCTGCTGCTCCTCCTCCTCTTTCCTTTTCCACGGTTGTTCAATATCAACAGTCTGCTCCTCTCTTCCCTGACGATCCGCGCGTAGGTTTCCGCCTTTCTCGCGCATTGTGTCCACACACACACACACACACACACACACACTCAAAACACATCCACCTTGCCCCCTGCCTTCACCTCTCCCTATCCCCTCCCTTTTGCCAGACCTCCCCGACGTCGCGTACTGTGTTTTTTCTGTGAGGGGGTGGAAGGGGGAGGGGGGAGGAGGGGGGAAGGGGGGGAGGGGGGGGAGGAGGGGGAGGAGGGGGAGGAGGGGGGGAAGGGGGGAGGAGGGGGGGGGGAGAAGGGGGGGAGGAGGGGGGGGGAAGGGGGGGGGGGGGGCACAGCGCGGCCCCTCGGAGGGCAGGACCCCCTTCCCCCAGGCCCGGCAGGGGCCCCTGGAAGGCAGAAGGCTTGCCAACAAGATGCTTGCCGCGGTGGCACGCCGGTCGCTGAAAGTAGTTTTTTGGTCAACGGCACCGTAACGGGTACTTACTAACGGGTACTTTGAAATGTTGCCGAAAGTTGTCACTTTAGGGCCTTTTTCTTGCATTGCAGCTTTGCCCACATCGGGAAGGGTTGGGTTCGCTGGGTCACTGGCCAAAGTACCCGTTAGTGGAGTCCCCGTTTGAGGGGCGCTGATTTGGGGGATGCTCAAGTCCTAATCCATTTTAGGCGCCTTCCTACTGCAAGAGTCGAGCGGCTGTCCCACTTCCCTCCTCTTCAGGGGGCGGGCAGAGGTTCAGTCTGCCTCGAGCGCGTTCCTACTTCATGGTTCTGCAGACGTCTCCCTGCCCATGGGTATTTGCACGACGCGAGGAGGTCTGGCCTTCGGGCCACAACTCTGGACTCTGCTGGCCGCTCGGTGCGATCTGAAGACCCCGAAAACCTGCCTGAAATCTGTCGATCTGATTTTCCCGCTCACGGCCCCAAGAGGTCTCGACCGCTTCCTCAGTGGCGGCTTTTCGTCCTGGATCTGTGCTTGACGGCTCCAAGTCCCGAAAAAGGCCTTCCAATGCCGAAATCTTGAAAAAAAATGGGATTGGAAATAAACAGAAAGGTCAGAGATTCTGGTCGAGCCAAACCCTCCTCTTCTTCTTCCTCCTCCTCCTCCGCCTCCTCCTCCTCCTCCTCCTCATCCTCCTACTCCCGAGGAGGGAGGAGGAGGAGGAGGAGGAGGAGGAGGAGGAGGAGGAGCAGGCGGAGCAGGCGGAGGAGGATATGAGGAGAAGAGGAAAGGAGGAGGAGAGGAGGAGGAGGAGGAAGACGAGGAGGAGGACGAGGAAGAAGAAGACGCCCGAGAACCTCCAGCTTTAGACAGCCTCCAGCGGCACCGCGGCCGTGCAGTGGTCTCCCCCGACCCCGCCCCGGAGCCGGAGCGTGGGGCCCTCGCCCGCGACCTCGCCCCGCCCCGCCTCGGGCAGCGAGGGCGTGGCAGACCCGGGGCGGGGTGCGACCGGAGGCGGCGCCTTTCGCGGGGGATGCGGCGCCATCGGAGTTTTCAGCGAAGAAGAGAGACGCTCGGAGGGCACCAACTATACACCAACACCGATCCTGGCCCAGGATCACCCTGGGCCCAGGATCAGTGTATATGCCTTCTTGCCCAAGGCAGAATGGCGTATACACCGATCCTGAGCCCAGGGTGATCCTGGCCAGCATCGGTGTTGGTGTATAGTTGGTGCCTTCCTAACGCAGCACCCCGCAATTGCGAACAAGATCAGGAGGGAAAAGCACACACACAGAGACACAATGAATCGTCGATGCCCCCGAAAAAAATAGGGGAACATGTGGGAAGTGGGGGGGAAGACAAAAACCCAGAAATTATGGGAAAAGATTGGGACTCTCATTATTTGTGTGTATTTATTTGTGTGTCCCAGGGCCCCTTCATAAGAGTGGGGGGGGGGGGGGCGGGCGCGGAGTGGGTCCCGGGGGGGGACGACGACAATGATAAGAAGCAGCACGTCGTTTTAAGATGGAAAGCCCGACGTCTCAATAACATGTGAGGAATGATCAGGCGGGAGCCGCTGTTGTTTTGAACCAGGGGCCAACAAGACGATCTTAGGCCCGATACCTTCCCTTGTACAAGGTGCGAGCTCTGGGAGGGGCACATTATTTGAAAAGCACATGTTACCGGAGGGGAGGATAAACCATAATTATTTTCCAGTGGCAAGTTTCGCCACCGTGCCGGCCAAGCATTCTGGGTGGCGACTGTTAGAGGGGGCACGGGAGGTCGTCACGTGTGATAAATCGTGTCTCTAGGCTTTGGAGTCCCGTGATGAGGATGATGAGGATTATGAGGATGATGGGGGTGATGACGACAATGGCGATGATGATCATGATGATGACGAAGATGAAGATGCTGTTGATGATGATGGTGATGATGATGCTGATGATGATGATGCTGATGTTGATGATGCCGATCATGAGGATGGTGATGATGATGGTGATGATGATGCTACTGATGATCGAAGCCGTCTTGTTATGATGTGTTGCCAGAAGCCCGAAACGGCGATCATGCGAAATTCATGTGGTGTTCATCGATCTGGCTCCGCGGTGGGATGGCCTCGTTCAGGAGGGATCGCCTGATGACTACCTCCTCCGCCTTTTCCGCTTCATCCTCCTCTTCGTGTTGTCCTTTCCGTTATCGACGGACTTGCCTCCCTTGCCGTCTTGGCTATGCGTGCTGCTTGCCGTGCCACCAACTTGCCTCCCTTGCCGTCCTTGCTATTCGTGCTGTCTGCAGTGCCGCCCTTGCCGCGTGCGCCGTCTGTGTCGCCCTCGCCTGTCGGCAGATTGGGGTATATAAGCGTTGATGTCGAAGTTGGGGTCCCACGCCTTGGCGAAACCTGCCAGCACGCGATGCCGATCTCAGCTCTGGAGATCGCTGGCGGACATGTCGCCCAGGTGATCTTGAGGCAGCACCATCACCGCGGAGCATAGCTGCCTTGATACGCCCGTCTCGAAACGCAACACGTGCCGCGTTCAAAACGCCCGTGTTCACTCGCTGCGTCTTGGCTCGACGTGGTGAGCCACGTTTGGGCGAACGCATCGCGCCCGACGTACGTGTTCAATCCTCGTGTTGAGCTTCGTGCCAACACGCTACGGGCGGCGCGTTGCGTAGCGGGGCAGCCAAGCCGCGGAGCGCTAACGCGCTCACGGCGCTCGAGGGCGGGGCGGGGCCACAGCAGGACATGGGCTGCCTGCACGGCCCTGGACATACCGCCTGGCGGGGCGCGGCCTCTCGGGGTCTGGGCGCCCCATTGCAGCGTGCGGCACCATCGCCGTGAGCCAAAATGGCCACGGACGTCCTCTTGCAACGGGCCCTTCCCGAAGGCATCCTGTCTAGCCTGCCCCGGCTTTTCGCGTGGTGAGGCTGGACACGCTGGGCTGATAGGGAATGGGGGAGGAAGGGAGCCGCGCGTCGCCGCCCCGGAGCGTGCGGCGAAGAGCGCGTGGCGCATGAGAGAGACCCTTCCCCCTGGCGCAGCGCGAAGCGCGTCGGTCTTGCCTTCTCTGCCGAGTTGGGGCCATCTTGGTGCCCTTGGTTGCCTGCGCGGGCCGTCTTGGAGGCTCGGGGCGCAGATCCATCGTTTGCAACGAGGGGCCGTGGACTGGGAGGCCCTGGGGCCGCGCCTGGGATGCGGAAGGCGCACGATCTTCGAGAGGGTGGGATGGGGGGGCGTATGTTAGCAGCCACGCGGGAAGCGCATAATCTTCAAGCGGGCGCGCATGTAATGAGGGTTCAGACATTAGCTACCATGCGGGAAGTGAACCACCCTCGAGCGGGTATGCGTGGAAGAGGGGTTCAGGCATTGACTGTCGGGGGGGAGTGCACGATTTGAGTCCAGCCCAGTGGCTGAGACGGCGCATGTCTGTAGAAGCGCCCACGACTGTCGTCAACACGGCCCAGACACTCCGGACGTCAACGCAACTCGGCCCCAAAACTACGCTCGGTAAGACGAAAAACATGGTCAACTCAGTTCGTTCATCAAGACGAGAGGAGTCGTCAACTCGACCGCGACACATTGTCTGTCAAGACCGATGTAGTTTTTAACCAACAGCTCGGCCCCGACGTTTTGTCGTTAAGACGGAGGGTGCGGCGAGGGGGGACGCCAAGGGGGTTCGTCAAGTCGGAGGGAGGCCGTCGCGGGGGTTCGTCACCCCAGAGGAAGGCCGTCAAGTGGGCTCGTCATGGGGTTCGCCAGTTCGGAATGAGGCCGTCAAAGGTGTTCGTCAACTCGAAGGCCGTCAAAGGTGTTCGTCAAAGCGAAAGGGGGTCGTCAAGGGGCTTCGCCAATTCGGAGAGTTGACGGCCAAATTCCTTCGGTATGAGGGTATTGACGGTCGTGACGTCCAGGCCCACTTCAAGACCAGCCGCACGCGACAGACTCAATGCACCATCTTCGACCAGGCACGCGTCGAGAGGGGGTTCGTTATCAGCGCCACGCTGGAAGCGCACCGTCCTCGAGCGGGCAGGAGGGAAGTGGCTTCGGAAAGCAAGGGCGATGCTCGCAGGAGTCTGTGTGGGAGGGGGATTCCTTATCATACATCAAAAACCCTACCACAGACAGACCTTGTCATTCTTCAACGTCTCAACGTGCCAAGGGGCACGGTGGCGGATTGCGAAGGCTTTGCGGCCTGCCCCGCCGACACTACAGGCGAGACTTGCCCTGGGAACCCCTTGGCGACCCTACATCCAGGACCCGCCGGGATCCCGGGGGGGCCGTCTTCTGACCTTGGACCCCCCTTTTCCCCACTCCCCGACCCCCCCCCCATCCCCCCCTGGCAGGGAAGGGCCTTTCTTTCGACTTAGCTACGACGTTCTGATTTGTTTTTCCTCAATTTCCTTGGGGTTGGCGACGACGACGACGACAGCGTTTTCTACACGCCGAGGAGTCGGTGGATTTAGAAATGAGAATTCAATCTGGATCCAGGCCACAGAATCCAAGTTCACCCACGCAACCAGGGATGGTGTCAGACCGCCTTGCCCCCTCACTCGCCACGGTTGGATGCGCCCCGAAATCCTTGTGTGCGAACGCACCCCAGGAGAGGCTGTTGAGTACAGTCGGGGCCCTGAAGAAGGAACCCTTTTGGTTGGGGAGGGG